AGACTTGCTGTTGCATCGAAGTAGGCTGAAGATACTTGTTTTTCTTGGGAATGAGGTTTATTATATCGAAAGTGGACTCTGAAATCTAAAACTTGTACAATACTAAACACGTTGGTTAGAGCCAAACATGTATTTTACGCTTAGCACATGACATACCACTTGCAGGTCGTTGTGTGGAATAAACTAAAAGAAGGCTAATTCAACACTACTATTGGCCTGGAATCTTTATTATAGATGTACCAAAATATTGTTGCACATTTGAGGTATGTCAGAAGGCTGCAAATAAAAGTGTTGGCGGTTAAGGTAAACTCATCCCTTATCACATTTCCTGTGTTAAAAATGCTTTTCCCGCGTATAGACATATAGATTGGTCCACTACCCCGCACAAAGCATGCCATTCAATACGTTTTAAGCATATGCAATTATGCAACAGCTACCCTGAAGCTATACCGGTACCTACCTTAGAAGCTGAATTAATTTCTGGGGAACTGGTGACTGTGTTTAGTTGGGATACCAAAGGAGATCAAGACACAACCTTTCTATCACATTTAATGAGAAACGTGTGTAAGTTGCATTATTGCATTACATTACCGTCACATGGCAAATGGTCTGGTAGCGAATGTTGAATGGTACTCTGAAGTCCAAGTTCGCAGGTACAAACCCAGACAGTTGCGACAGATATATTCCATACTTGTTGTTTTCCTATAGGCTAATGATGCAAGAATCCACTGGCTATATACAGTTTGAACTTCTCTATGGTTGGCAAGTGAGAGGAACCTTAGTAGTTATGAGAGGATTGACGACAGATGAACTACCACCTGCAGAAAATATAGTGCAATTTGTAGTTGAAACAAGAGATAAGTTATCAGAAATGTCAGATCTAGCTCAGCAGAACCTCAAAAATACACACAGCAAAAACAGAATGTGTTATATGACCGCAATGTGTTACTCTTGTTACCATCTTCTACCAAGAAAATTACAAGAGCAGTGAAAAGAACCATGCAATATATCCAGAAAAGTGTTGTTTCAAGCCGTGTTGTAATTGATGTAGAAACTGTCTGACGCTAACTAAAACATGTATTACGTACTAGATGATCAGTTTAATGAAACGCATTCAAGTTGACGAATGCAGAATCTTAACCAAAGGGAAATAATCATTAAAAAGGCTTACCGAATCACTATATTAGTTTATTTCATCGCACGCGTATGTACAATAGACGTACGTACGTTTTGATCCTGTTCACTGGAATTGTAGAAATGGAGAGTTTATCAATATCAGCTCATGATATTATAAAATTACAAAAACTGGACAAACAGGTTGAAGGATAAATACAACGCTTTGAATGCCAGAAGAAAACTGTCGAAATGATTGTACTACTGACATGGTAACAAAATGAAATAATACAGTATTTTTGTTTACTGTGATATACGTGTTATGTTTGAAAACATCTAAAAAAAAATGACAAACAAAGTTCAAAACATCGTATGCGATTCGCAAATGCGTGTTCGCGTTTTCCCATGTGCTGTCCCTATTTGTTGATGGTCAATTTTTAAGTAGGGTAATCTTAACGCCATATTCCCTCTGAAAGTCAAGTTCGAAATCAGATCATTCGATTTTTGTGGAAATTATCAGGTCCATACACAATACGCGAAATTTCAAAGTGAACGAAAATTCCTTTCTTTCATGGGTTTGCTCAATGACTTATACTGTTATAGTGAAGAGTGCACACACAAAGAATGTGTCTAAGAAACAGTGAATAACAGTCACAAAATTAAAACATACAAAACAACATAAGGTTGATATGTCCGCGAGACATGGTTCACTAGCTGATATAGAGAACTGACCATCATTAACTACTGACTATCATTAACTAGTGACTCTCATTGGTGTTACTAGGTGTTCAGAGGAAGCACACCTTCCTGACTAGTAACATCGGAATTTGTTTCATATTGTAATATGTGTCTTGACATTTCATGACTAATCTATAGACTTGCAATTGCGGAAGTTGTTTCGCATAATTGTTTCGACAGACAAGCCATATTATGATAATTATTTGTTTAATGTTGTTTCAAAAATTGTTGAGAGTCCCAATCAGTATATTGCTCGAGTTCAGTCCAGTTCATGCACAAGAATACAGATGGGCACAAGTCTGTTCTACATGAAAATGATTCACGAAACCCGTATGAAGTCCTAGGGTTTAATTTTCTGTTACATTACTGCTTTATCACAGTTGAGTAGTTAATAAGTATATAAGAACAAAATCAAGATGAGACAGACTCTATTGTAAAACTGACGCCCGAACTGAGGGCGAGGGGCGTTCAATAAGTAATGCCCCTGACCCACTTCCAATTGTCTGATCTAGATGAAATTGTACATGTGTAATTTTGCATGGGTTATGTTGCAAAAAACAGCAGTGGTCCGGTATTTGTATTTGAAAGGACGCACACAAAAGGAGACTTTTAATGGAATGAAAGAAACTTATGGTGATGCCCCATCATATGACCTTGTAAAACGCTGGCATCGTGAATTCAAACATGGCCGGAAGTCTGTGGAAACAGCTCCCAGACCTGGTCGTCCCTCTTCTGCCATTGATGAGGCATCTTTCCGTAAAGTTGAGGCAGCCATTTTAGAAGATCGACGCATTACTGTTCGCCAAATAGCCCAAGAGATTAGTACAGGGTCTGTGGAAACTATCATTCAGGACCATTTGCATATTATGCATAAGGTATCTGCCAGATGGATTCCCAGGTTGCCCACACCTTTCCAGAGTCAAAGTTTTTTCAAAAAAACTGATTACATAGGATGAAACCAAACCAATGAGACCAAAGCCCAGTCAATGCAGTGGAAGCACTTAGACTCACAACCTGCAAAGAAGGCAAGGGTGCAACCCTCCGCTGGCTAGGTCATGCTCACAGTCTTCTGGGGCCAGGACAGAGTAGTGATGACAGATTTCCTGGCAAAGGGTACCACAATTACAGGAGCTTATTACACTTCACTTTTGATGAAATTCGGAGAAGCTATCAAAATCAAAATGCTGGGCAAGATCAGCAAATATATCCTCCTCCTGCAGGACAACGCTCCGATCCACAACTCGCATGTCGCCAGATCAGAAGCACGGGCGTGTGGCTATGAATCCTCCCTCATTCCTCTCCTCGGACTCATATTGAGAATATGTTGTCTAATTTACGATGGATGAGTTTTAAATAGCGAATCCATTTTAATAAGATGATTTTAATGTGCAGAGTGCACCATAATTTGGCACCTGAGTATCTTATTTCAAAATTTAAATATCTTAGAGAATTGCACTCATATGACACAATTTCAAGTGCCTTCTCACTATTTCAGTTGTCAGAGAATGGAACTCTCTCACCCAGCAAGTGTATAATCACGATACGTTTGCTGGTTTTAGGAAGTCATTTTCTCAGTATATTTTATAAAATGCTGGTAAATTTTAAAAATATTCTAATGTAATTGTTGCTTGTATATTTGTATATATTTTTATAGCTTTTTTTCTGAATTGTATTTTAATGTAATATTTTAAATGGCTCCTTGTAAAACAGCATTTAGCTGACAGGATTCCTAATAAACTTTGAACTTTGAACCCTCTGACTTCCCAGCCATGAAAGGAACGCGTTTCCCAGATGATGCAGCCTTGATTTATGAAGAAGGGGTGTTCTACAAAAACGGTGTCCAGAGCTGCATCAAACTATGTGAGAAATGCATTACTGTGAGTGGTTCCTATGTAGAGAAAGACTAATAACTGTGCCAAGTTTTATTAATCTTCTGCTATGGGAAATGGCTTAGGGGCATTCTTATTGAACGCCCCTCGTACATATTAAACATGCATCAACATACCTTTCATTCCTGCTTTTCACTTATTTGAATAATTACTTCAAATGAAAATCGTTGTAATTTTGTAATGTTATTTATTTAAAAGTATTCTCGAGAGAAAGCTTATCTCAATTCGTGAACACAGGAACAAAGTACGATGCGCATGCGTAGAACATATGATGTGGCTATTTATTACCTATAAATTCATTAGTAAACTGGACACGCCTCGCTGTATTGCCATGCTGTCTTGTTTAATCAGCTTAAAATGACAACATAGATGATTACCAACAATAAGGAAATAAACATATGACAAATACCGTGTGTTCGATGATAGCAACAATCTACTCTGTGGTCAATACATATAATTTTATCGGGGATATATTTAATAATTTGTCCACTTCTGATTGATGGCTTACTGTTTTAATGCAGTGACCATCTGAAGATGAGTGTATAATCACTAGGGCGTTTATTGCTTTGGCTGAAACAACAATTTGTGTTCAGTCTTTACCTAAGTCATATATTCACCTTGTCTGTTTATTCCTGCATTTCAAATCACTTGTTGGAATACATACTTCAAAAACAATAACAATCACTGTATTAAACAATGGCAAAGGTACACATACATATGCTTCATTTCTCCAATTTATTCAGTACGACATATGAACAATCCAATTAAGCATCCTATGTTGCATTTAATGCCGGAACTGGATTCATATAATGCTAATTCATCGTGTTTTTATTTTATGCTGATTATATGTACATACAATTAAACATAGGACCATTATGTACACTCACGGTAGGAATAGAAACTCAATGATCTGTCATAATAATACATAGTATTTGAAATCAATTCATCAGATAGAGATCTTAACTCAATTTGTGATTATGATTATAAAAACACGGGAAAGAAATATAAATCATTCTAAGTACTCATGCGAATGTGTTGGACATATGGTTTGCCAATTTAATACTACTTATTCGTAAACTGGAAACACCACTGTGTTGTAGCCTTTTAATCCGCTTACACTGACAGACATTATGATTGATTGCCAATAATAAGTATTAACCTATTATTCTTAATATTTTGGAAATAAACATATTGCCAATATATTGTATTCAATATTAAACATATGAATTCTTCCTAATAAATCCAATCACCCAGCAAAGACTCTACTGACAACGTGTGTATATAGTTCCAAGCTAAGCGTACAGATTTACTCAAAATGCATTTTACATATTTAGTGTGTCTGCTGGTACTTTTGGTTTGTCTGGCGACAAGTGTGAGTATCAAGTATGTTAATATGAATTGATTGTAGTGAAGGAGTCCTTTATCAATGTATACATTGAGGAGCTAACCTCTAAAATAAACATATTTAATGATGAATACATGCACATGTTATCCAACATTTTTTACAATCATTAAACAATAACTGTTCATTTTTATTGCAGGTTGCTGCTAGTAGTAAGTATTCACCCTATTATATGTTCTCTATTTGCTACACTAGCATAGCATAATCTACACAGATCGTTGTCGAAATGCTAATAATTCGTTGCATATATATTAAGTCAACTATATTTAAATACTAGACAGCAAATTGAAGGGGAAATTCCTACTGTTCTATTCGGGGAAATTCATACATAATATTATTATACATCTGTCACCGTAACGCCATAAGTTACAGCGTACCGTAATTTTGCGGTATTTTACGGGATATTTTCATACTACCAAATTAGGAAATCCGAATTCCACATATGGAATGATTACGCGCGTAAGCGTCCTCTAATAATAAAAACAAACATGGCTGCCACCAGGATTTGATCGGACTCCACACAAAGAAGCTCGCTGATTATGTTATAAACTTTTTGGATTTCGGCATTCCCATGATGTATCCTTGGAAGGAAAGATACATAATAATAATAAGGTTATTACGAAGATACCTCAAAGTATGCACTCAGACAGTACGCTGTCGCATCGACCTCCGCTGCGCGTCGGTCGATACTCCCGCTGTACTGTCTTCGTGCATACTTTGGGGTATTTTCGTAATAACCTTATAGTATAAAGAAACGGAGACGGGGATGTGGGAACCTGTACAATAATTTATTTTATAATTAAATGCCGTGTAAACAACGATGAGAATCTTTTCAAGGAAACCTTTTATAAGTTTTCAAGATATCATAATGTACTGTTTAGACACATAATGACAACAAGCTTCATTTTTTGAATCAACAAAACTAAGAGCAGCTTGTAATCCCGATTGCCGATTACAGCTGGTAAATGGTAATCAAAACAGGAAAATAGAGAACTAGCCCAACTGGTCATGATTAATCAACAGATTAATTGCCAATGTCAGCTGATAAAATACCGCTACTAGCAATATCGGAAAATTTCCCAGCTGAGCATTCAACTAATATATAATTTAATAGCACAGTTTGAAATACTTGAATGGCACATCTTTCGAAAGTGTTTTATTTTTCAAAATAGCGAGAATTACATTTCTTTCCATGTGACCCCTCTGATACAACCAACTCTTAACTCTAAATAGCATGAATTGTAATGATTCAACTATGGCATAATAACGTCAATAACCTCTCTTAAAATTGTTGAGAAATAAAGAAACATGCTTTTTGACAAAGATTTACGGGAGAAAATAATAATATTTAGTTCTCTACATAGTTCTCAAGAATTAGATGGAGAAAATAGTCACGTTACCAATACATTTTAAGTTAAATAAAGGATTAAATATGATATTGCGGAATTTACGGTCCATACAATTAGTATAAAAGTCTCTGACTTTATTTAATGGTTTTCAATATCATATTCAAAACAGGCGGATTCGTGATTGTGATTTTCATATTTTCAATTCGAAGCGACTAATCTAGACAGGATGAATTGCAATTGTATTTAATTCCCTGGCGATGAGCACAGTCGGTTAATGATATTATGGTGTTAAATATGTTATTAAAGATATTATAAAATCGAATGCAACCCGTTATTCACATACATAATACGGTTTTGATCAGGGATCGAGTAAATATTTAATATCGAGTCGACACGATAATTTAAATGCTAGTCCATTGAAGCTAGCAGAGCCAGGGATGTAATTAAAAAACATACTTGTTTAAAAACATTGAAATGAGATTAAGCGCACTGACGCACGGGTTGTTGTCCGCTCTGATATCAATGATGATAATGCCAATTTATCTAAATGGATTATGCTATACTGAATTGAATGCTGTCTATCACCCTAGTTCTGTTGAGGCCAAATGTTAATCCACAAACACCGACAAGGGTTAGGGATTATAACGAAAATATTTTGCGTTGCCGATGCGTTTTAAACATTACTGTATATAACAAAGTCACATTTGTACTTAAACAGTTCATTTTGTTTGTGTTTTATTATATAGTGTAAATTTTATTTACGAATACATCATTTACTTCGATAACTATCTACACTCCTGACAGCGTTGCAATCTCCATGTATAGGATAAAAAACAGGAGGGCTATCCAAAATAAATTACTAATGCAAACTCTATTTACACACAGACCTATATAGATAGCCTATTAGTCGAACGAGTTCTGCTGTTCTATAAGAACTTATAAGTATTAAAGAGCAATCATGCTGGTAGAAAATGGAAAATTAATGACATCATCACGAAAGTCTAACTAGCAATTATCAAAAAAACCGGACGAAAATATTAATGTGAAATAACGAATTGAACTAAGGTATACCCCCCCCAAAAAAAAATATCACCCCAGATAGGATAAGTATTCTTTATGTACATGGAAATACAGTGTAGCACGATAAGCCGACAGAAAACATCCAATTGTCATATTTTGGGGAATACAAAATGCTAAACGTGAAATCTGGCCTGTTGAACAAACAATTGTACAAAAACTCAACTAAATAGGCTACACAGTTCCCCACAAAAAAGTATCATTCATAAATTGCATTTTCTACACAGTTTCATAACTTTCTGGCTCAAAAATAACAACTGACTACAGCGATTTTACACTCCGCATCACTACGTATCACCACAAACAAATTCGCCACATTTAGTTCACACGGTTTTGAAATTACAGCCGAAATCAATTTACGCAGACAAATAATAATATTAATGAAACAATAGGCTTGTGGTTGCGTCGTTATTATTAATAACATTGCGATTACAACATACTACATGCAGCAACAAACTGCAGTCGGTTTTTAGACACCCCCCCCCCCCGAAACGTATTTTGTTTATCAAATAAATTATAACCTTATCTTACACGAGAATTGTAGAACCAGTTCAAATATCTAATATCAAAATATATTGTAATCCGGGAGCCAAGTTTTCAAAGTGTTTTTAAGGTTTTGGTGCCCCTATGTAATTTGATTGAGTGACTTCTTGTGGTATTTGCGAGATATGGTGCAAGTCTGAAGTCAGTAACAGAAGCGAAACATGCCTTGAGTTATAGGTATAACTATTTCTAAGGATTATTGTATATGTCAATAGTAATTTAATGTTTAATTCTGTGGGTTAAGTTCAACTTAAAATCAAATAAATGAGATTAAATTATTACTGTTTTGATAAAGTACCCATTTTATGTAGGGTAAAATTAAATTTTGTGATGGGAGTTACAAAAGGTTCAGTTCATCTCCAGTTTTAAAGCTTACCTTTAAACCCAGTACAGCAGAGATTATCAGCTATAGATGCAAGTTTCACAATTTTCTAATAGTGTTTTTTTAAGTTTTATAAGTATATGTATGTATAAATTTCCAGACCGCTTGCAGTCGGTCAGTTTCTAAATTTCTTTGCTGAAATTGCTTCACCAATACACCTCGTTCATTCATCAAGGGCTTCGATTATTGATTTGCATAATATGCATTAGTCATTAAATGACGGCTGTCATATTCTTTAAACAGACATAACAGTTCAGTTGTCAAACCAAGATTTTACCCTGAAGTAAAAATTATGGTCTACCTAATGTGTGTTCGAGGATCTGTGGTTAGTCCAATCCTTGATAGGGAATAGGAGTGACGAAGACTTAGTGTACATTAAATGGTAAAATTAGTTTACTAATTATACAAGTTTTGTTTTGCAACTGCATTAGATATTGATGAGTGTGATTATTACTGTGGTGGTACATGCCGTGCTAAAAAATGTAATAGGGGCGAGATAGCCTCGGAAAACTCGTACTATTATTGGTATTATGGCTGCTCTCACTACTGTGGGGAAGGTCGGGTGTGCTGTGTGCAAGGTAAGTGTTCTGCCTATAAATATTTGAGTTGCAATTGATGCATATTGTATGAGAATTGCAGCATGTACACGTGTTTTCTATTTTAATATGCACATGTTTGGAACATTTTAGGTTGTTATGGACATCACAAGTTGAATAACCATATTTCTATCAAATCATGATGTTAAATTTATGTGGAATAATGGTATTAGATTGATGTTGACATAGTAATTTTTGACAAACTACGGTGCGTTTATTGATGTTGACATCACCAGTAGAATAAACATAATTCATTTAAGCCATAGTTGTATAATAATTAGGAGAAATAATGTTGATTTACTGAAATTCTATGTTTTATACTAAATATATTAGATTACGATTCAGATGTATGTGAATATTATTGTGGTGGTACATGTCGTTCTAAAAAGTGTAATAGAGATGAGATCACCACAGAATCGGCATACTCTTATTGGTCGAATGGTTGTTCTAGCTACTGTGGGGAAGGAAGGGTGTGCTGCATACCGGGTATGTAATCATTCTGTAAATAATTATCACATATATCAGTCATTTGTTAGATGTTCTTGTAAATTCGTCAGGTGGCCATAGCGTGTCATTGTTTAAAAATTTCGTCTACCCGTGAACCTTTGCTTTCTTAGCGCGTGTTATCATCGCTTGGGACTCAATTCCCGTGCGTGCGTAGGTGACGACCCTCCCGCTTTAATTACTATGAATAGCGATATCGTTGTTAATTATTGTTAGACAAAATGATTGTTTTTTTATTGGCTTCAAGTCTTATTCAAAATTTGTTTGATTAAAAAAGTGCAAATGATTGACTTTGATGCGCCAATGGCATGCATGCAATTGTAGTTAATAGTAATGGTTGATTCACTAAATCTACGTCTTATTAAGAACCTTATGATGTATGTGACCATGAATGCGGAGGAACATGTCGTGCTAAAAAGTGCAATGCAGATGAGGAAGTATCTGATTACAGTTACTGCAATAGCTACTGTGAAGAAAAGAAACGACTGTGCTGTGTGCAATGTGAGTGCCCTTTGTTGAGTTCGATTCACTTAGACTGGGTAGCCCCTTTAGTTACATAACTATCATTTTGACATGATAACAGACATATGACAATATCTAAAGACCGTGAATCACTAAATAAAATAGTGAATCCAAGTTTGCAGTGATGATTACACATTTTGCTTTCATAGTATTATATTTAATTTAGTTCATTGTTATTTGACGTTTTGTGAGTTTTGTATCAAAATGTGCGAGTAGAATTTGGATCAATAATACAATTTTGAAAATGCGCCAAACCACTGTATTACAAACTTGGTAATTTGTTCTTATCACAGGGGAATGAACCGTGTAAAACAAGTTCAAAATGCACTGTGAGTTTATGTATAATAATGTAATGACAGTTAATGATTTGACAAAAATGCAAATATTAATGTCAAGTTTAATTTGCCATTGAAGAAGGATGGTTCATGTTAGTTGCCACAAATCATGAAAGACGCTCAAATATGTATTTTTTATTCACTTTCCCAATTACAAAAAAACGTATTGATTTAAAAAATAATTCAAATTTATTCTTACAGGTTTATTGTTGATAATGTGTTACATAATCAACTATGTCAGATTTGAATTTTCGAATAGGAATTCTGATGAGTAAATTAAGATGAATTTTAGTGATTTTTTTTTTTCATTTATTTTCGTGACCCCCTCGTTTCATTTTCTACCCTATTATTGTTTAGTTTTGTTTTTATGTGCTACCATATACCTAAGTATTGGATTTTATGACACAAGCATGGTATGTTACATACAATGTTCATATTTTAATGCAACTATATAATTATGTTTATATTTTTTTCAGAGGAATCAGCTCAACACAACAAGAGAGCACTGTTAACATTAGCTCTAGCAATAAATCAGATTAAAATAAATAGTTTTTTAGTGATTTTTTGTGAATGACTGTCATACTGCAAAAAAATATTTTCACACTCTTGTGCGAGTTCTGGATACTGTATGACGATGCTCCCATTCTGGGCTAGTATCATTGTCATTTTTCAGAGAGCAGAGACCCATTTATACAGGGGACGCTCCAGTAGGACATTGTTAAAATTGCCCGATTGGCATATCAAAATCCTGTATTGAAACAGAACATATTCTGTATTCACTTTCATAAACAAAAGAAACAGTCTGATCCAAACAACCTGCGTCTTTGAAAATCAAGTCTTATCGCCCTTGTGTTTCCGAGCGAAAATACGTGGATGCCAAAAACAACCGATTTTTGCCAAATCTTCTGAGATTTTTTGATATCATTAATTCAGTCCAGCGGTTAGATAGGATATTTATTAGAGACACTCGGAGAACCAAAACTGACGATGTAAATCAATCTGGCGACGAAAAATCAGCGATAATAGCCAAGGGGGTGAGAGACTGAATTTTAAAAACATATTTTATATATAGGGTATATAATAAATCATTTATAACAAGCCCCTTCCAGATTTTTTTTAATGAATTCATTACCCCAGGTGTAAACAGATGGTGACAATTGTGATTTTCATTTATGAATTCATTACAATAAATACATGATAATTTCTCTAACAATACTGATATCGGTAAAGCAGCAGTTTAAATAAGAAAATTTTTTCAACTATTTTTTTTTATTTTATTTTTTCAAGTACGTCAGTCACTGACATGGGGGTAGCAAAGACATACTTGTAGTTTTTTAGGTAAGATGATATTTGTGTGTCACGTAACTCCTTGTATTGTATAGAAGGGCAATGGACCAGTGACCTACATTTGTAATTAATGTATATATACATATACTTAACAATATGTTGCTTTCAACAACAAACAACCTGTTGAGCTCAGTCAATGGAGTGAGCTGAGAATTCATTCAAAAATCTAGTCAATCTGAAAACCGTGAGTTGGGATCATGGGTGTTGCTGCTTAAAAATAAAAATGTACCATTTTTAAATAGTGGAGGAACATTGTGCTCTTGAGTCATGCTGGAACAACCTATTTCTTGAAAAATGAAAAAACAGTTCTCTTCTATGAATGAATGAGTATTGTTGAGAACAAAGAAACTAGTAAGCGGGTACTGTTTTGGAACCAATGAAAAATACTTTCTCAGTAAACAAGCATTGTTGAGAACAAAGACTCTAGTAAGCGGGTATTGTTTGAAA